AATTTTTTAACAAGAATTGCATTTCTTATAGGTACCCAAAATATTAAATTTTTGCCATCAATAATCAACCAAACCAGTATTTTTATGAACTTTAATATTAATTTTTCTATACTTTTTAGCGTTTATAATCTACCAATACGCTGCAACGTTTTTCCGAATTCTTCGAATATTACACGTATAAAATTACAATCCGTTATCGATGCATTTAACTCCAATAACACGTCATTTCTACGAAGCTATTTCCCATTTCCTTCCACTTATTCGGCACACTCGCCGTACATTACGTGCTAGAATAGATCGGGCGCCGCCTAAAAAAAACCGCTTTTAACATATTATATTTTCTTTACCCCCGAGGTGAATCGATAAACTTATGCCTAGGTAAAAAAAACGCCGGATCGTGTGCGTCTATTTATCGAGCACGGTATGTGCACGTTAAACGGATCTCGTTCTTGTGATACAGCCGGAGCCCCGCAGGCGTTTTGCAGAAAGTGAAACGGGCACGTCCGGTGGCTATTTTATCGATTTTTTTCGTTCTCAGTAAACGGGAGAGGCGCGTGTTAATCCGATTTCGCATAAAAAAATTAAATAGGTAAGCCACTAACGAAACACTTATTTACAATTATAATAAAACGTTGTCTATTGTCTTAACACAAATCGCGCGGATTCATTGCGAAATCGATCCTCGTTAAAATTAGATAAGTATTCGCAATTACTTAACCCCACAGCACTTAAATGTACCGAAATAACCGCTTATGCAATCCCGTACCCATTAAGCGCATTACTTAATCCATAACAATGTATAGTTGCATAAAATTTAATTATGACCGTCTCTTGTAAGTGCCGATTAAAATGATTGCACGTCCGACCCCGCTCAGCCTAGTTTAAATGCGGACATTATACGATCGGATTTCGTCGAGTGACATTGCACAGTGGAGGAATTCGCTCGCTTTCGACAGCGCCTCTCGTACGCATTTCAATATCGGCGAAATCAATTACCGTCGAACGGGTTTAGCAAAAGAATTTTTCGGACGCACGCACTTAATACAAGGGTATAAACAATTCGAACATGCGATGGATTCCGTTTTAACGACGTGCACCCGAAAGGGCACCTGCAGATTCGACAGCGCCATCTGCGCTCTGCGCCAAGAAAACCTTTCCCCCAACCCCAAGATACCAGTGACGTCCTGCTGTAGTGTCCGATAACACCTTGTCAGGACAATCAACCCCTTTGAAACGCACTTGAATATATTTTTTAAGTGTAGCTTACACGATGCGTAGATAAACTAATTTTATGTTAGTGTAGGTGAGGCACAAATTTGTTGAGTAATCCATCGATATTCCCTTTATTAGGGCGCTACTGATATATCTGACGCCGGTAGCGGCTGGACTTATCGGTTTTCCTTGGATTTTCTCGTAAAAGTGACTCATCCTTTTAGGGTGTGCGTATAACGCGAGGGGTAAAATCGCAAAAGCACTCGTATATTAAAGGTATTCGATTATTAATCCTACGAGCCCCGTAAACACGAGTGTGCCGGTCGATATTTAATTAGCCGTCCGGCCGGGCCGGGTTCGTTTAACGCCGGCGATTTAATTTAGTTAGGTTTTTTTTAGTTAAGGGAGAGCAGGAGATGAAGAAAAAAAAGGCGTGCATCTTAATCACGCCGCATTCCGATCTAATCGAAATAAATTATGGACCTTTTTGGACGGACGAACGCCGCGGAGGCCGTCGATGAGCAGTCGCTCTTTAGCTTCTTCTTCTTCTTCTTCTTCGTCTTCTTCTGCTTGTTATTTTTTGCGTTTTGCCTATTTTGCAACTCGATGCCCTGCGGACCCGATTGATTTTGAAGTATATACTGTGCCTAATCGATTATTCTCGATACGTTTTGGACTAACCCCGATTGGAATAGATTCTTTACACTATAGTGCATGCACTAGAATTTCATTTCAAAATTGGAGTATTGTAGAAAAATTTAATAGCAGATAAGAATATGTTACACCTGATAAATATCATCTACCTGTAGATTTGCAAATTTGACCTATAACTATATCTACAAAATTGTAAGATTTATTAAGAGAAGCCTTAAATAATCGCTTAATTGTGTCACATAATAAAAGCTTCTTTAGAGCCAATTTCTTAATTTTAAAAGATTTCCTACACCTTGTTGCTTTTTGTCCAGATGCAACTAGTAAATGTGATTTGTATATTAAATCCTATTCGATAGAAGAGTTGGGCCTTTCGATGTGGTCCTAAAGACTGTTTTCGCGGTTGATTCGCTTTCCATGCAGCATGTTAAATTAAATAGGTACAGGTATTCGAAGTCCCGAAATTATCCGCCGAAAACCGAGCGCGTTTTGCGATGAAGAAAATACCCTGTTATTACGAAATTACGCCGTATACGCGAATTACACGCGGCGATGAAAAAGCGACGAAAAAAAAAACGTTATAATCGCATACGTATGGCGGAATAATTACTTCTCGTTATAATTTTTTTTCGGTTTAAGAAAATAAGAGCAAAACGTCGAAACCGAAAGATAATCGTAGGTTCGGTGCCTTTCAACGTGCCGTTCGTTGGATAGCACGTGTTCAATTTGCATGTGTGCATACGTGTAAAGCCTAATACCTGGTCCCTCAACAATGCTAGAGTAATGTAACAGGTACAGTTTTTGGACAATTGACTGTTACTTTAGATTTGCTATGAAATTAATGTAGCAAAATTTAATCGCAGATTCTTAAGAGAAAATTGACATTTTATGAACTATACAGAAAAGAGTAGATTTAGGAGCGAATTTTCCAATTTTTTCTTAAGAAACTGGAATCAAATTTTGCTGTATTAATATTAGCACAATTTAAATGTTTGGGACACATAATTCCTTCCGCCAAAATTTACAAAAGGTTTTTATCATTAATTACCAGCAGTATACTTTTTATGATTTTTTTAATGGTTTTTTAAATGTGTAACGTACTGTTTCGGTTTAATTTTTTTGTACTAATAATCTAACCTTTACTAATTTAATTCGATAGCGAATCCCTGGGAACGAAAATATGTACACAGCGAAGTGATAAAATTCCTTTACGGTTAAAATCAAAGCGCTGCCGTAACGAATCGCATTTGTTCTTTCTTTTACACGTAATTTGATTGTTTGTTCCTCGTCGTCTCTATTGCACCTATTTAGTCACATTTAATCGCTTTATAGGTAGCCTAAAACCCAAAACCATTCGATGCAGTTACGTTGAACGCGTACGAATGATGTATTATGAAATACTCGAGAGGTTATAGTTATTTCATTATTTAATTATCAAAACTCCTTTCTTCCCCGTTATATCTGCTATATTTTTTATTACCACGCTTTCACAGCCGCTGTTAATTATTTCGAGGCAACGTTCCAGAACGTCAGTTTTTCGTCGAACAATCGAACGCACGCATTTCTTCCTATTTTTATTTCTTTTCTCCCATTGTTTTTGGTATTCGGCCGTTCGCAATCTCTGCATGTAGTTTCCCGGTTCTCACGCGGTATAGTTAATGCATCTTAAAAATAAATCTTTTCGAAATTCTACGACGATTTCGAAAGTAAAAGCCAATCACTCCGTATAAGATAACATGGTGGAATTCTTGTTTTTACTTTATATAGAAATTAATCGCATAAATAGTTTTAATTAGGTGCATTAGTTGTGCTTATTGGGATATTGTGTTGGGGAATGTACAAATTTGGTAGGTTGTAATTAATAATCGAGAAAATTCTGAAAATATGGCAATGAAATTGTGATTGTTTTTAATGATTAGTTATTATCTAAAAGTGTTATTAGGTTTGTTCCAGCAGTATGTTTGGTGTTGTTACGAACAATTCGAAAATAAGTATGGTTATATTAGTTGTTTATAGTTTATAGTAGTTAGTTACAATTTAGTTTTGAAGTATGAAAATTATTGACTTATTTGGAGCTATGGGCGAAAGTAGTTATGATGAATTATCGGAAGACGATTATGAAGAATTGTTGGGAGAAACGCAGAGGCCAAAAAATAAAAATTATATCGAGGAAACAGTTCTTTAATATTCGGAAAAAGAATTCAACGAACATTTCCGTATTACAGGATACCCAACAACTGCTCGAGGTGTTCCAGCAAGAAATGTTCCAATCTTATAACGAACTTGTACTGATACAAACATAATTTGAACATGCTGCTGGAACAAACCTATTATTTCATACACTGGGCAACTCCAATTCTGAATAGATAGACACATTACAAATTAATACTCATATTATTGTTGTTATCGCAGACGCCTCGTTTCAATACAATAGTACATGCACTAGGTATAGGTGTATTATAGACGCGTTTGCGAGATGTGTGTGTGGACCTATGTGTGTGCGTGGAAAGCGGTGCCGTGGGCGTCGTCGTCCGCGTGGGACGACGGCCGACTAGGGCCCACGCCGACCCGGATCGACCGAAAAGTTCCCACGAGTACTCTCTGTAGAAGTCTCCGTCTACTAACTTTTATATATTTGCACCGAACCCCGGCTCTCCGAGGTTAATGTCATTAGGCGGCGTTCGAACCGGCATCGCGACATCGGCGGCGCCGCGTCCTCTGGCACGTACGGGGCGTCGAAAAAAAAAATAACCGCGGTAGCAAATATACTGCTCCACAAAAGTTAAGGAAGTTTACAAATATTGAGATTAATTTAAAAGTTGGGAGGTTTTTTGATCGCCGAATTTAGTGTGAGTTGTAGAGGTAGTGGCAAAAAATCCACTCAGATATGAGAGAAAACATTTTATTATGCGTATTTGAAAATTTGGCGATCAAAAAGTCTGTAACTTTCAAAATAATCGCAAATTTTGCGAACTTCCTTAACTTTTGTGGAGCAGTTTAGATAACGCTCTCTCGAAAATTTTCTCCTTTGGATGATTCTAATTTCCTCATTTTAAAAGTAGAATTTAATATAAATTGTAGATAGTATTATAAGATTTTGTAGATTTTTTTATTGATAAAAATTTGTTTGTTTCAAGATGACCGGCAAACGATCCAGGAGCTTTAAATGTGCCGTCCATCATCGAGATCGCGAAGTTTCGTCAGAAAACGACTTCCATCTGCTGTTCGTCGAGCCGCCGTTATTTCGCAGGTAGGAGAAAAAATGTTAAATTGATGATCGACCGGGCCCAACGAAAATAAATGCGACGATATTAGCGCAAGTTTCGCAAATGATTAATCAAATTCGCGGAAACTTTGTGTGATTCAATTCGGGCTCAGGTATATCGATGATTTTTTTATGTGCTCGAAAGTATGCGAGTAAAAACGGAAGTGCCTAATGTGTTATAGTATTTACTAAATTCTGCAGGTACATTAGCACGTCCTGAAGATCACAGAGGTGACCTTATATTGATATTTTGGAGGTTTAATTCATTACTACGTTTTCGACATTACTACTTGGGACTTGGTGAATAAATTATTTGTCGATTTTCAACAGTAAATTCTGGAAACCTTTTTTCTACGATAAACTACACTATTATCAAATTATTAGTTTGTTTCACGTTTCCTCACTTTTTTGCTAACCTAAATACAGTTAATTTAGTCAAAATCTACAATCAATTATTCAACTTATATTCGATTACTATACATTATTCAACATTCTATATTAAGCAGTTTAGGCAATTACTCAATTTTTTATGAATAATGAAATTACTAATTTATTTAACAGTTTACTATGTAAATATGTCGATTTTTCAAGAAAACCATAATCTAGTTTCCAACATTTTATTCGAATTTTTTTCATATCGAATCGATTATTTTTTTCAACGGAAATTAAACACTTATTTCCTCCAAAAGTTGAACGACTTTAATAACTAAAAATCCTGAAATGGTATACTTACATAGGAAAATGATCGATCTCTGTCCAAATTCGTAAAAACCAGAAAATCCCGCAAGGCTCTTTTCGAAATTTACCCGAGAGGAATCGTCCGTCTTAATTGGCTTGTCTTGTAGATGCATTTCTATTTCCGTCTAGTCTGAGTCTGTAGAGTGTTCGCTTTTTTCCTCGATTTAAATTAGTCGACCGGCCGATTAGTGTTCCTCTTATACAAGATGATTCAATTAATTCCATGCTTAGGGCATATAGGGTGACTGCACAGGGTGCCGGAGTAAAGGCTTCCTCTTTTTTTAGAAATTAGAAAACAGTTTTTGTTGTATACACTTTATTGATTGTAGGATTTATAATAATTGTGTAAGATTTTTTAGGTATATTCCACCGCCCTGTAATATTTCTTTTAATTTTTTTAGGATGGTGTCCGTGGTCGCTGACGAATTTCTGACGGACGATAGGGATAGGAAATACTACGCCGACCATTACACATGCTGCCCTCCGCCGTTTTTCATTCTCATCGTTACCTTAGCAGAGGTGAGTGGGCGAAAAATGCGAAGTCGGGAAAGCGCGAGTTTCTCGCTTTTATTTTTTTTGGGCGTTTTGCGGAAATTTCTCTCCGCACGTGAATCGTGAATCTTGACGGCCAGACGAAACACGAGCCGGATGAGTACACGTGCCTAACATTGGCGTACGATAGAAAATTTTCTCGCTAAATATTCTATTGGATTTTTACGAGTTAATCTCGATCAAAATGGATTATGAGCCAACATTAATTCTATTTACTTACGCTCTCTGGATATAGAGGTAATTTCGTTGCAGTTAATGGTACTTGATGGGTTAACCGGTGATGAAATAAATGGTGGTTACGGCCCTGCGGGATGTTGGCTCGAAATGAGTTTTGTTTTTATTTGGTGTTTTCGGTTATAAACGTCTCATTAGGCGTTCGAAGGAAGGGCGCGTGTCCCTTATGCGACATGTGTTTTACGAATTTCTGGAAACTTTGCTTTCTACGGGATTAATGACTTCCTGAGGAGAGCGGCGTCTATTTTTAAAAATTTTATTTTTACCTATACAAGGCGGTCAGGCTTTGCTGTACGACCCAAAATTTGCATCAGTTTATTGAATCAAAATGTGCAATAAAACAATCAAAAATTAATAATGTTTTTTCTCTTTTTTTCAGTTAGGATTTTATTTATACTACTACATTACGACGGGCGAAGCCAATCCATCGGGATCGGTACTCATAGATTCCATATTTATTTATAGGCCCGACAAAAGGAGCGAAGTATGGAGATTCCTCTTGTACATGCTCTTACATGCCGGGTAAGTTCATTGCATAATAATATTATTATATATTAAACACGTTTAATGTAAGAAAACTTTTTATTTCGGTAAGGATTAGTTTGTATAACACCTCATATCCTCATGAGTAATTCATGAGTACGTTATTAAATTTCAAGCAATGAAAGAGTCATTTACAATTGTTATTATCCCATTATGTTAAATTGTTTCCTGTTTTTCGCTTGTTAAAAGCGAACGCTGCGCATTCGTCAGGCTCGTTTGAGAAACCTCAATACTACCATAGGATTATTACATTATTCCCAATTAGTAGTTTTTCCATGAAGGGATTTGTCAATAATATGCATAAAAAATTTCGGTGCCGGTCTAGTATCCGGTCTACCATAATATTTGCGGTCTACCTACGTATGTATATTAAATACTTTGGCAGTTGTGGTAATTTGCAAAACTGAAACTGATTGTAAACTTGTCTCACAAAATTGCAAGTATTTGTCCATTTAAACTTTTTTCTCCTAAAGTTTTCGATTTCCCTCGGTAATTAATAACCATCGAAAACAACTCACTCTATGTAATTCTGATAATTCCATAATTCTCGATAAATTACATTACTTACCTGCTTATAAATTATTAAATTACCTGCAAAATTATTACAATACCAGTAAATTTTTTTTCTTTTGCTTAATGAAAGGTCAATTTTCAAAATCTTGCATACATTATTTATAAATACTTTCTATAAAATACAGGGTGTTCCTAAACATCGTGTACATCGATAAGGGGGTGTATCCTTGGCTTATTTTATGACTAAAAGTTCATATAAACGTGTGTCCGCCAACACTTCATTACCGATCTACAGGGTGTTGAAATGTCAAGTTTTTTTTTTGTTTCTTTTTTAGAGCTCCTGCAGTTTTAGCTCAAAAATTAGGCATATGAAAAAAAGTATAGAGTATAATTTGAGTAGGATGAGGGTCACTTTCAACATGTGTTATAATGTAGTTTAATATTTATTATTTAGGGTTTTTGCTATGTAAAATAATCATTTGTACAGATATACGGTAACGGTCACAGAAACGAAAAAAGTTAAAAATAAAAAAGTTTCTAAACAAAACAGATAATTTTTGTATTTTAAAACTAATTTGAAACTGCAGGAGCTACAAAGAGAAAAAAAAAACTTGAAATTTCAACACCCTGTAGATCGGTAACGTAGTGTTGGCGGACACACGTTTCTATGAACTTTTAGTCATAAAATAAGCCAAGGAATCACCCCCTTTTGGATGTACAAGATGTTTAGGAACATTCTGTATATTTGGGTAGACTGCATACCAAACCAGATGCATTAGGTTAAACCGCATATTAGACCGGCACAAAAATTTGTACTACGTTACGTTTGGATTATTGTTTAGGGTTCTCTCACCTTTCTTAGCATACCTCCATATCTTCTTTATTTAGATATTTAGATCCCTATATGAACTGCTCTACCCTCTGCTCCATTTCACTCTACTCTACCCCCATTTTATCTACCTGATCATGATGCGTCCGATTTACTAGGTAGTAGAAACATATTTACCAACCAATTTACTTACCGATACACTGCCGATAATTTGACATCTACTCTAAACTCTTCTATTTACAGATGGTTACATTTGGGCTTCAACTTGGTGGTCCAGTTGCTGGTAGGCCTTCCTCTGGAAATGGTCCACGGTTCGGGTAGAGTGGCGCTGATCTACATGGCGGGCGTAGCGGCCGGCTCGTTGGGCACCTCGGTCTTCGACAACGACGTTTACCTGGTGGGCGCCTCGGGCGGCGTTTACGCCCTATTGGCAGCCCATCTCGCCAACGTCCTGCTCAACTACAACAACATGCAGTGCGGCATATTGAGGCTCTTCGGCATATTCGCCATCGGTAAGACCCGAACAAATCCATCCAACTAACAGACTAATAATTGGGTCGTTTTTTTATTGCAGCGTCCTGCGACGTGGGCTACGCCATATACTCGAGGTACGATTCGATGGGTCTGCCCGTTTCGTACGTGGCCCATTTGACCGGAGCCTTGGCCGGCCTCACCATCGGTCTGTTGGTGCTGAAGAATTTCGAACAGAAGCTGCACGAGCAACTGTTGTGGTGGGTGGCGCTCGGCGTGTACGCGGCTTGCACGATTTTCGCCGTGCTGTTTAATGTGATGAATCCGAGCGAGGAGTCGGTGGAGAATCTCGGCGACGGCGTTAATAGTCAATACGTCGTTTACAATAAATGGGGTGTGTGAATGTTGTTGGGGCGATTCGTAAAATTGACGGGAGATCGATTGTCGTTTACTTTAATCGAACTCTCGTCTCCTTTTAGGTACTAATTTTGATATGCATCCCAGTTTATTAACGTAAAAATGTTTAATTTGTTGTGCTTTCGTTTGTATCAGTTTTTGATAAAAAGGAAAATTGTGATTAGATGATTTGTACATAGTATTAATGTAAATAATTTAATTTATTCTAAAAAAAATCAAGCCAAAGACTGAGTTTGAACGAGTTTTATATAAAAAAAAAAATAGATGCAGTCGTTAGAAGTTATTGTTTAATTAAAAACGTGTCTAGTAAAACATTTTTTTTACTCACATTTTTGCAAAAAAGGCTTTGATTTTTTTTAAAGCAATAACTTCTACGAATTTATTAGTTAGATAAGTTCACTGTAATTTGTCCAAGCTCGAGGTGATACTGATACGTAAAATAGAAGACTGGCTATAAAACGAATAAAGTAAAGTACCTTCTCTAGTTTGGAATTATAATATATACATACTTGCATCAAATGTGTGAGTGATACAATAACTAGTCATAATGTAAAAAAAAAGAATATTAAGCAAAGCTTACCAAAGAAAGTGCTAGTTAATTTTTTATTTACACACTTGAAAAACCTAGGAAATATTGCCTTATCCGGGTAAAAACCACTATCACAAAGAAGAAAATGTATTTTTTACACTCAGGTAGAAAAACTATGTTATTTAGATAATAGTTTTTAAGGATTCAAATGTCAAGAATTTTTGTTACTCAACGAGTGTTGCATTTGTGCTTGAGCAACGTTTTTGTAAAAAAAATTAAAATAAAACCACTTAAAAATATATTTGGATTTTTTTGTAGATAATCCCTTTAAATGACTATACAACGTACAGATATAAGCAGTAGCCAAAATACTAAGATACATGAGAAGGAGACATTAACGATGAAAATATACTGATAAAGAATTGTGAAGGAAATTGTAACCACAGTGACACATACAGTTGGAAGGTCAGAAATCAAGGTACAATCCAATTTTATTGGTGTAACATCATCACAAATAAATATAAAATAATTTATATCATACAACAACGGACGCAACAATAAATAAAGATGCAGGTAACTTAATTCTTTGAAAAAAAATACTAAAAAGAAAAGAATACTGAATACACAATTTTTTAAGCCGAAAAACTCCAGTTATAACAATTTCGACGCGACTTCTATATTAATTTCATCTTAATATATACAAAAGTTCAAAAAAAACCGGTAATAAATAAAATTTATTCAGCTACTTACATGACGAGGGGGGGGGTTTACCGCGAATCGACTTCCGCCCCAACATTAGGCGGCGGTAACTTTCTCGCAAATCGCGTTCGTAAACTCCGAACATTTCGACTTACCGCCCAAATCGCCCGTCAGATGTTTCGCCTCTCTGATGGTATCGAAACAAGCCTTCTCGATTTTGGCGGCGTGCTCGTTCAAACCCATGTACCTCAACATCATCACCGCCGACAGCAAAAGGGCCGTAGGATTGGCTTTATCTTGACCGGCTATATCGGGAGCCGTACCGTGAACCTTTAAAATAAAACATAATAATAAACTACAATAAGTCGCTTTGGTGCAATAAATACAATGGCCCGTATTCAGCCAATCTGTTTAACTTTAGAGTGACTCTAAAGTCGCGTTTTGAGTTGCTAGTTACTCCATAACAACAATGTAAATCTGTCAAGTTAAAGACGAGACTTTAGAGTCACTATAAAGTTAAACAGACGCGCTGAATACGGGCCAATGTAAGTCATTCTAAACTTCTACGGGTGCACAGAAACTCATCAACAATAAGTTTGTTACCTGCATAATGCAATAATTCCTTACACAGCTCCACTCTGTTCAATTCTGCTCTTTGTTAATCACTTCTTTGCACCACTCTCCTACTCTATGTTACTCTCTGCTTTGATCTACTGTCCTACTGTAATTAACTTCTATTCTAAGCTACTCTTTGCCTTACTCTATTCTCCTACTCTCATCTAATTCTACTCTATGCTTTCCTCTACTCTCCTACTCTAATCTACTTTTACCCTATGCTACTCTCTGCTTTGCTCTACTCTCCTACTCTACACTAAGCCTGGTATAATTGTATACTTACAGATTCGAACAGAGCTCCGTTGAGACCGATGTTACCGGACGGTGTGAGGCCCAAACCGCCAATGAGACCGGCGCACATGTCCGATAAAATGTCGCCGTACAAATTGGGCATGACGAGCACGTCGTACTGCGTCGGGTCCTGCACCATGTTCAAGCAAACGGTATCCAAGTACCTTTCCTCGAATTTCACGTCGGGATATTTCTTGGCCATTTCCCGGCAACATCTCAAGAACAGACCGTCCGACATGCGCCTGCAAATACGACGAGAATTAGTGGTTTATGCTCGTTATGTGGGGAATACAAAGGCGAAAGTTAATGGAGAGGAGTACGATGTGAGATGTACGGTTTTAAGCCGTTTACAATTAAACCTCGACGTTTTAGAGAAGTAACGCTATATATCCACTTACATAATATTGGCTTTATGGACAGCGGTAACCTTTTTCCTTTTATTGTCTATGGCGTATTGAAAGGCGAATTCGGCCACTCTCCTCGAAGCCTCCTCCGTTATCAATTTGATGCTCTGCACCACTCCGTCGACGATTTCGTGCTCGATGCCCGAGTACTCTCCTTCGGTGTTCTCTCGAATGGTCACCACGTCCACTTCATCGTATAAAGTTTTAAAACTGCAACGATAACAAGAGTTTAGCAAATACAATTGAAGGGTACAGGGGAAGAACGACAATAATCCATCTAAAAGTATCGAGAAAAATTAAAATATAAGTTTACCTACTCGTTAGAAAGTGAAATTAAAGGTATCTTTTAGCTGTTATTTTGCGGATTTGAGCAATTTTTACCGTTTAACGATTTCATTATCTGATAGTAACTACAAAATGCTATAATAATAAACTGTGATCTTAGTTTTGCAAAAAAATAGACTATTCGTTCCGAGAAAATCAATAAAAAGTTTTATTATGTATGGTTTTTATCCTAATTTCACGGACTTAAGCAACTGTGCTATGTTAACGTCTAAGTATCTAGTAAGGTTTTCCAGCTCAATCGATGAAGACAAATTTTAAACAAAATGGCTATCTTACTTTAAAATATCAAATTTGGGACTTGTACGGTTTTGGAACTCACCGATTCTATTATTCTGTAGTATATCATACACAAACTAATGTAATGAGGATGTTCTTATGCAGATATGTACAAAAGTAAGTAGGCAATACTTATAACATTAAAAGAGAGTGTTGTAACTGAGCTTTCTGTGTCTTTACGAGTATATTTCTTACCCTTCCAAGCTTCGGCAAGGCCGAACGTTGGCATATAGATTGAATTCCTTTCTTAAGGCTAGATTAAGGGACCGGTATCCTTTCCCAACGGGCGTCATTAGAGGTCCTTTCAATCCTATTTTATTGCGATTCACTGAATCGATCGCTGCTTGAGGAATGCCGAATTTACCGTCAGGGCCCTAAGTACAACAAATAGATTATAAAAAAACGTACAATGCACCACTTTGTAAGTTATAAAACAGTTATGAGCCAAATCAGTAGAGTCGTGCGGAATAATTTGATAAAAGATCGAAAAATTATTTACTTTAACTGGGGTAACATCAACGGATTCCCATTCGATGGGGACATTTGCCGCTGCGAAGATTTTTTGAACGGCTGCTGATATTTCTGGACCAATCCCGTGTCCGGGAATTAGAGTGCATTTTCTGGATTCACTGCTGAATAGGCGATTTCCCAACGATTGTGCCGAGTGCTAAAATACAAAGCAAATAAATACCATTAAAATTATATCGGACATGTGACTTGAAGTCATACAGTTGTATTAGAAGTGTAAGATTTTTTTGGTTATATAATCACTTTACTACCTTTAAATTAGTGTCTGTTTCGGTAACGTTGGAAAAGAAATTCGACAATTTGTTCCAGAAAGTGTCGCTGTGGGATTTAGCGTTACGTAAATGCCCGAAAAGTCTCATGGCGCAAAAAAGGAAGGTTTTTTTTTGGTTAGAAATAGGAAGGAATGCTTTACCTTACTGCAATGTTACGCAAAAATGTAGAATTTTTTTACAAATTAACATGCTCGATACTCACAAACTTTCGTAATATACTCGCAGCCATTTTCCGTTGTATAATAATTTATTTCATAAAATTGGAAACGAAAATCAAGTCAAAATGAAAAGAAATCCAATTTTAAAAATGATGAACATTGAACGATGTCAAAGTCAAAGTGTCAAATGTCAAAGTTGAAAATCACGTGTCATGTGTGAAGTCTTCTTTTTTTTTTGTTAATTCTAATTTTATTTGTTTGCTGAATGTCAAATTTATAAGAGACAATTATCGACAATAAAGCGCCATCTTCAAAGCAATTGTGAAAAAATTGGCATAGTTAGAAATAAAGAAATCTGTAATCATTCGTATAGGAAATTTCAGGACCTTCAGAAAAATTTCCTTCTCTTTCCACCAGTTCAAGGGCACTATATTTAAAAATATTTTAAAATAACATCCTTGAAGCAATCCACAATTTAACTTCAATTCATGACCCAAACGAGTCTCGAATAATAAAAGTCCCTAGAAGTCCATTCTCTTTTCTTAGTCCTCTGTAGACTCATTTGTATTATTCAGTTATTTAGCAATTTTTTTATACGAGAAAATAGAGCATATAAGAAGTAAAATTCAAAAATATAAATAAAATCTCTTTCACTTCTTTGGGTGAAGGGTAATTTTATTAAACGCCATTTTATTAAACATTGACTTGTTACCCTAATTAAAATAGCTGATTTTGTAAAAAGTATTTTAAGCAGGTTAACAAAAGATTTGCATTAATTCAGAATATTGAATTACTAATGATGAACTAGTGAACGGGATGATGATAATGAAAATAGAGAAATTCCGTTAAACACCATCATTAATTTATGATTTCTATAAGAATACTAACATCTGATACGAGAATCAATCAGTCGCAGGACATCTCGAGACATCTCTATTTCTGTCGGTATACAGGTAGAGATTATTTCAATATTTTTATAGATACATAATAACAATATAATAACGCTATAACGAACAACTTGAGCGTAAAGTAATTATTTTATTATTTGTTGTAATTTTATCTAGGTAATGAAAAACCAGAAAAGAATATTTACAAATTGCAATTATCGTAATTAAAGTTAACGATCGCTACAATGAGAGCGATAAGAGCTAGCTGAAGAGATGTTGTTTATCTGGAGGAAGCTTGATGATGTAACGAATTTTATTACGGCTAATCAAGTGCAATTACCTGCATTTTTTTTTGTTTTAAATTGTAGTATTTTATTGCAGTGCATGTTTAGATTATATAAAATAAAATACATATTATTTTTTAAGATTTTGAATAATTGTATAATATTTTTATAAGTAGGTGTTAAAATGAATCAAGAAGGCAGTAAACTCGTTTTTTTCCTATCACAGATATGGATTTATATTCCGAGGCGACAGATGAGTGGTGGAATAATAGAAATTATAAAGAAATAACTATAAAGCAAAGAAAGTCGATAAACTAATTAGAAATTAAAAAAGCCTCTGAATAAAAATTGATACAATATGAATGTAAAAAATAACAAAAAAAAATAATTATCTAGACGTGTTATAGAAAAACATTGAAAATACTCTAATTTAAAATTAAAACTTACTCAATATCTTGAAAATTCTAAAAACCCTTACGATAATAAAATTGTAAAATTGTATTGTACGTTACATATTAAATCGAAAAAAATCTCTTGACAATTAAGAGATCTTACCCATAAGAATCCTTTAGAAAATCAGTACAGAAACAGTACACAATCAGTACCTACAGAAAGAGAACAGAAACAGTACAGAAAAATATCTTAAAAACAACCTTTTAAGGATAAATCGCTGTATTTAGTTAATCATGTAACAAATTTTGTAAGCACAACAATCAAAAAAACCCCGTTTCGTGGAACATTTCGTCCACCTTAGTAGTCTCTCGTTGGCGCATCCACTCGACTCGAGGCAATTCAAGTGAAAGTGGTCTGTGAAAGTTTAACTCTCTAAGCATGTCCGTCTAGGTGCATCAGTCGGCTTACGATATCCACGGGTGATGTGCTAAGTAAATCGCGTTTGTTTTGGTTTTTTCTGATCGTTCCGAGCATGCAATTGGCCGCGCACCGCGCCGTAATATGAAGAGCAGCCCTGTCAGCTTCGTTTCCATTCTCCGGTAAATCGATCGATCAATCGAGGAACACAACTAGGCGGAAGAAATAGATGGAATTGAGCCAGGATGAATAGAATACATTCGTCCATATTAGCCCTCGTCATGTGCATTTTTCTGATACAGGCCACCGATCCGCCCTACGAGAAACCCACTGGAAATTTCGTCAATTTCTTCCGAATGAAAATGCCGGCGGTGATTTTCGCGCCTTTCCTCACCGACGAAGCGGAAAGGAAGACCATATCAGACAGGCAATTTCTCAGCACTGAATTACAACCCCCGACGATGGACCCCCAGGAGCTGCGGCCACCAGAACTCGACAACTTCAACAACAATTACAATAACAACAACAATAACAACAACAACGGCAACAATAACAACAACCCCGGAGTGTATTCTACATTGCAGGATTACGATTACGTCAGTAGTCAAGATAATCCTACTGATAATTTGAAACTGCCACTATACCCTCCGATACATCCGGCGCCTGCTACTAGTCCTGGTGCGAATACAAACGAGAATATTGGCGAAGTTTCGAATTGGTCGGATGACTCACCGAAAAACTCCAGCGAGGAAAGATTGCCCAACAAGTACGAGGAATTAATCGAGCAGGATTTTATTAAACCTCTTTTGAAACTCTACGAGAAAGTCATCCATCAAGACGACAATTCCTCGCAAGTTGCACAGAATTCGACGGACTACAACAGAAAGGAATCTTCGCAGTTAAATGCTATAAACAGCCTTATCAAAAGTCCTCTCAGAAGGGACGATGTAGACGTTGTAGAGAACCACAGGAAAGAGCACATTGGCGAAATTCTGCCGGTAGACCCGCGACATAATTTCATCCAACACAGACTATCAAGAACAAACGAATATACTCACGGGGTTCCCATCGTCTTTCCCTCGGAAGTAGCTCCTGAAATCGAGGGCTTCAGGGGCTCCCGCTCGGGGCTTACATTCTTAGAGCACTTTCGCGTGCCCAGGAGGTACAATAAGTACAGAGAGGTGTTCTTCGATCCTTCGGCTAGGTACCAAACGGCTTGGTCGCCCAGGAGGCCCAGGGTGATATTTCCGACGGATCAAGTAGCCTTTAGGGATCCGGTGCAGAGCCAGGAACTGGATGCCGAATGGTTAGCTGGTGATAACAGCTTGCAGGATTTGCAGGAGCAAGACGTCAGAGATAGAGGTGAGCAATTCTAATTGTTTACAGAACTTTCTACATGACTATGCTTTTTAATGGTGAGTGATATAGGAGAACGAAATGATTGAGATGTTCTATTGAGTCTCTGATGATGAATTTAAAGATATCATGAAGGGAAATTTGTCTTTGTTCTATATGTGATGTCTTATCTGCTCCGGTTGGATAATTATTGTTTGTTCTTTCCTGTATCTTTTCGATAAAGATCAATTTCATTAGGAGGAGATTTCAACCAAATATGCAAGTATACAAAAATAAATTGTCTGAAACTTCTGGTAAAAGTTACCAAAAAAACTTGTTTCCAAAACAGCTATTTTCCAATCATTAATTCGGTAAGTTCTTCGGCTGCAATTAAATCGACAATTTTTCGCCAAAAAAACCCGAAAGTATTTAAAAATTGTTCATACTCTAAATAAGAAAGAACAATATAATGTTATTTTCGTGACTCCTTAAAGCGTTTTTTCTTCATTATTAATTAACTCATAACTCATACAACCTTGAAAAGAAACGTTTAAATTCAATTTGAAAATTGAAAGTAAAAGAACCAGCGGAGCGTACTCGGTGGAATGCAGTTCTTTGACGTCTGTATCATCTGTTAAACAAAACACTTTCTCATGCAGATACAGAAAATCGTTCCATTTGGGAAGGTACAACCGGTTATTTTAACAAGACTCGTAACAATATTTTGATTGGAACTTTTTTTTCGAGCAGTTGGTAGTAAGTACTTGCATTTTGTTACAATGGCTACTTTTGAGGATTACCATTAATATTTCAATAAAAAGTACCAAGTAAATTGCAAAGTAAGAGGTAAAAGTTGGAATAAAATATTCAAACATAATGCGAATATAATTTAAATGTAAAGCCATAAAATCAACCTGCATAGATAACAAATCAGTGTTACCAATGCAATTTTTGACATTTACCAACATAAAATACACCTGGTAAGTATAAACATGAGGTTTATGAAACAAAGAAAGATTAAAAAAGCGGCAATCGAATTTGAGAGTGAAAGTTTCGGGTGAAATTTATGTGTATGCAACGTATTATTTGAATATTTAATTTGAATGAGCCGCAATTGAATCGAGAATCGGTTGTTTCTCTAAGTGATTTATGCGCGAGATTGCGGCAATTGTAATTTAGGAAGAGTACACTTTGACAAATTACGAAATTTACGTAATTTATCCGGCCGTTGAATGACCACTATTAAATTGTCACATTGATTACAAAAGATATTATTGTCTTAGAGGTTTGTTTAGTTTCCAAATTCTTAATTTAGCCAATTTATTTTATAGTATTATAATTGTAAAATTAATTAGTAAAATTACTGTTTTCCTTATTTTTTTGTAAGGAAATTGTCCTTCACCTTGTTCCACTTGTGCTGTGATTTATCTCGAATTCTAACCGACTTTTGCGTACTTCCTGAATGTTCAATCAACGTATAATTAAGCTGGTTTTAAACAGGCAGTTAGTTGGTCATGCAGGACAAAATAAATCGCCCTGTATGTAGAACTAGACCTGTTAATTCGAGTTTTTTAATCGCACGTATTATCTAATTTTTAGATTAAATTTATTTAACAAATTCGCGCTATAAAAATTGATTTAAATTAATTTCTTGTGACAAGTAATATTACCAAATTGATGCAAATAGGAATTTTTTCGAATTTTCAATTGGAATTTTATGTTAATGGTCTAAAATATTAAAAGTCAATGTCAATGTCAATAACAATTGGCTATTTTTCCAAACACACAAGGCCAATAATGGCTTAAGCTATTGTAAGAGAACTATTCACAATATATTTACTACTATACTAATAAAAATAGCATTTTTTACTACAATTAAGTATTCTTGTGAATTCATTTCTTAACAATACACGACTCAAATAATGGAAGTGACAGAAATGAAGGAAAAATTCGACACAAATAAAAAAATTAAAAATTATTCAATTCATTCCTTTCGATCACATCCATACTATATTTTTACGTTTCGATCAATCACGCATAATAACACGGTATTTTGTAATAGCTTACAAATTCAGCGGCAATTGTTCGTACGTAAGTGAGAGTAAAATAGTTAACCTAGTTCCCTTGCCCCATGACTTTCTTCAGCTCACTCTCTAGAATTATAATTTTTTACTTTCTCACTTTATATTATACCTTAAATAGTGCGAAATTAAAAATGCAGCGATTCCCGACGCTGATTTTTATCATCTACAAAAAATTTAACCTTCTAATAGTCCTATTGTTGTGGTAATTTTCGTAAAATCGCGGTAATAGCGCTATATGATAATATCTTTCCTTGCCTCTTTTCCCTCACTGAATTGATTTGCAATTATATTTTGTGAGGTTGTGCATAAAACATTGGTTAATTAACGAGTCGTTAAATTTTTTGAATATGCGCCCAAATGGGAAAATTCCGGTGATATTTTTATTTTACCAACGGTAAAATCTTATTTTTGAAACGCTGTGTTAAGTTTTAATGTGTATGTATAACGAGAATTAGCAAGTTTAATTGGACTAATTTGTGATTAAATTTGTACCGTTTTTGTTTTAACATGCTTTAAATGAAATTATAAAAGCGTTTCGAATGCGAAAATAAATTGCATAAAAACATAAATTTAATAAAATATAATCGAATTAATCTGTTCCGAAACACTGTACATGCATTATAATGCGTCCAATGAAAGCGACAAAAACAAATAAAATGCAACCTGACTGCGCAAACAAAAAAAAATTAGCATATTTCTTTGCGCGGTTACTGGGATTGTCTGTTATAGTTTCGAAATGAAAGCACCATATGAACAAAATGACAATTCAAAATTACCAAACAAAGAGCGAAACAGCCACATCGGGACACATCAGGAAACTCTCACGGCTCTAATAACAAACGTAAAATCTCCGCGACCCCGATTCCATTATCAGCAACATTTTCTTCACTAATTCTGTGCTTTTGAATTGTTCCTCTCAGGCATGCAGGTGACCTGCGCGCCGGGCGCAACTTGCGAATTTTTTATTACCTGCTGGTTATCGGGAGGTTTGCTGGACCAGCAATGCGACGGTTTGTTTCGAGGATGCTGTTTCAGAGGCAGAGTCGCCAAGATTGGACGAAACGGATATCCGACCGTTGGGACTATCGAAGCGCCTCCCGAAACAGCTAAAAATCAGATCGGTACCAACGATCTGGACCTTCGTAAGTTGCGATCATACTATGCATGTGGTGGATAACAGGTGGTTTTTGTTAGTGGTCTCGTAATTGCACTGTTGTTTGTTCTAACTTTATACGTCTTTTCCAATCGTTAGAAATTTGTTTTAACTGAGCACTTTGTTGTTAGTAAATTTTATAGTTAGAAGGTGTAATTGTTTGTAAATAATTCGAGCTTTAAAGCTCATGTTCTATTCGTATGTGGTTTCGATATTTGTGGTGAATTGTCCAACTCTATTAGGAGAGAATGTTTGAATGTACCTAAATCTACAAGTAGTCCTTCTTTATTGGAGCTATACTTTTTCAATTTCCATCATTCTTACCAACACGTATACCAGATTGGCTGTTGATATCTAACTAATAAAGGAGCATTTTCGTTTTGTACTAATTTCTCAACAACAATATAAGCATTTCTTCTAAATGGAAGATACGTAAGCAAAAAGGATTTTTCTTATTAATTATTAAGGATTAATTAATGGTCACAAGAAATTCATTAATCAAAAAAGAGAAGAATCCGAATTAAAAAAAGCATAAGATCACGTTCGTACAACACAAAGTACCCAGCAACTTTCCCGAGAATCGAATCAAGGTTACAACGAGATCATTCAACAACAGCAATAGCAACAACAACAACATTGTAGGTATACTTATATCGAAAAACCGTGCATTTCCGCGAGTGAGCACATCGCATTGTGATACATTTTAAGGATGCGATGACTGGTAGCGAGAAAGTAAAGTAAAATTATGGTCGCCCGAGGGCAGTTTTTTTATCCGACGTAAATAAACGCGTATGCGATAATTTATAATTGTATGCGAGAAGATGCGGTCGTCGTAGGCGCCACGTTAACGTTTCGATAATTATAATTAATGCCGGCGAGAGTGAAAGTGCAGGCGAGATTGACCGTACGCACGACGCCTCGCCGAAGAAAACGGAGATGTTAATTAATATTTCGATTAGCGTGGATATTATTATTATTGACACACGTTTCTTCAATATTTAATGAGCCGAGAGTTCAACGTTTTCGATCGCATATTAGAAATATTAAGGGGGAGGGGAAGAACACGCACTTGAACTACTGCCAGGCTGCAGTCCAGAAGTGACTGATTGACACACTGATTTGAACACTATCGTTAAAATCTCAACTTATTTACGGTATATAATTAGTAATGCGTATTAAAGTATCTATTATTAACGACTCGTTAGTTAACAAATGATTTTCCTATGTTTATGTTTTTTTATGAATTTGGAAATGTGGTATTGAACATTGAATTGTTTTAGGATGTGGTGTTTCCTCTCAAAGACAAGCACAAAGGAGGATTGTCGGTGGAGAAGAAGCAGGATTTGGAACGTTCCCATGGCAAGCTTACATTCGAATAGGATCTTCAAGGTAAGTTGGAAATAGTGTGAAATGATCTACTTTCTACCATTTGTGTTGTAGGTGTAAAATGATTTATTATTCCGCATATTGCCAAATTTTATTTAGTCTTTCTAATATTATTTCTATTTTTCTAAACCATGTTTCGGTCTCATTCGCTCCGGGTTTAATTGACCAGAGAAAATTCGAAAAATTGTCCACTAAATATTAGTAAAAATAGTCGAAATTTGACATCGTAATCAACAAGCAGAACTCGAAATTAATCGATTTTCGTATTACTGGTTATTTTTCATTTAACTGAATTACTCATTGTTTAATAGAATCGTCGTTTTCACTTTATTTTTTAGTATTAAGGTACTTTCTATATACCTCTGCCTATTTTTTAACATTCAATAGTCTGAATTTAGCAATCGACGGACGTCTAAATAAGTCTCTTTCCAATCAGATGTCGACACAATAGCCAATTCTATTTTATTTTCTTCATAAACTCGCGCACTTTAATTAAATGCCCATTAGAAAAGAACAAATAGACGAAATCGATTCTGCAACGTATTCTTCTACGAATAAAATTATAGCACTAACAACGTACGACCGGGGACTGCAATTATTTTAACTAGGTTTCCGATATTGTAATATTGACAAATAAGCCAGTTCCTGTCTCGCAAAGTAACTTGAAGAATATTGTGAAATATCGAATTCGAATGAGCGTAACGACGGTCATTTCACTCACTATCGCTGCATTTAATTTTAATTAGCAGAAATTATTTCAAAACTAATTAAAACCGATATAAACCTACACAAAATATGTTCAAAAGAACATCCAGTAACTAAATAAAATGTAATAATTGCAAAGTATGATGTTGCATGGATATAAATGGGGGTTGTTAATTCCTTCCTATATTAAATACTCACCATAAATTTTTATAACGGCTCTAGGGTTTTCTCCGAGATTTGCTCAACTTTTATTCTGAATTTTAGGTGTGGAGGATCTCTGGTTAGCAGGAAGCATGTGGTAACAGCTGGACATTGCGTAGCAAGAGCAACGCCGAGACAGGTTCATGTCACCCTGGGCGATTATGTTATCAATTCGGCGGTGGAGCCTCTTCCTGCTTACACCTTCGGAGTCGTGAACATTCAGGTCTGAATTTTCTTTCTGAAAAAATTAAATTCGAAAAAAGGTCGGTGGCATAAAATGAATCATATTTACAGGAAGCGTTAGCCGATTGATCAATTAAAGCTTGATTAACAACATTTAATAAATCTTACGAAACCGTGAGCTATAATTGTCGTTTTTAAAGAGAATTTCGTAATAAAAATTCGTGGAAAATACGTATGTTACATCTTCTTAGCTAACGGTATTTCTACGAAACCGTTAAAATATGGTAAAATTCGATTTTTTTAACCTCGGGCGTCAAAAGGAGGTCGCTGATCCGAGATCACTGCGTTATTCATCCAAATATGTACGGCCTTCTTTATTGTTTGCATTGGTTTTTTTTTGAGAATGAAATAATTTCTTGTTCAAACATTTGCAGATTGATAAGAAACCAAAATAGTTTTAATTTTGCACAGCCTTTCAAAAATATAAAATATGAAATACTTTTAATTCTGACGAAAGACCAGGAGATTAAAAAATACTAATAGAAAGATTTCGCAAGAAATGGTCAAATGCCACGAATATTCAAGTTTCCAAGAAACTTGCAATGAACTTCCAATCTGCAGTTGTCAACACCAACATCAAAAAATACATCTTCCATCAGTTCCACCGCCTATTTATCACTATTTTCCGCTTTCAGGTCCACCCGTACTTCAAATTCACCCCCCAAGCGGACCGGTTCGACGTGGCGGTGCTCCGGCTGGACCGCGCCGCTCACAATTTACCCCACATCGTGCCCATCTGCCTGCCCCCGCACGGCGAAAACTTCCTCGGCGAGGCCGGAGTCGCCGCCGGCTGGGGCGCCCTCAGCCCGGGCTCCAGGCTCCGGCCCCAAACCCTCCAAGCCGTCAAAGTGCCCGTGATAGACAACAAGCAGTGCGAGAGGTGGCACAGGTACGCAAACCACCTGCAGGAGCTCCGCCGGTTAACAGGGTGGTTCGATGGGAAGCGTTTGAGTATAGTTTGCAAGGATTCTGATTGTTCTATATGCTTGTTCTATAAAGGAAAATGAAATGCTCCGGAATGAAGACGTTAGGATAGATCAGGATAGATCATATGAAGTTTAAGAGATAAAGTTATTGTGGTTTTGGTACTACATGGTGAAGAGATTCGTTGGGAATCGTTTGAGTAGGGCTTGTAAGGTCTTGAAAGAGGTTATGTAAGGATTGTCTTCAAATCAGATTTTTCTTTGCTTGGAAATGATATAATAAAGAAGAGACCTTTAGAATGGAGTATGTAGCCTACAAAAAAAAGAAAAGCTTCATTGAAGATAATAGGAGAGGATATTCAGGATATTCAGGATATTAGGATATAACCAAGTAATAGAAAAGCATTTAGAGAGAATGTTGGTATGGTTTTGGTACCACCTGTTGTATTGTAGAGTATATGGTTAGAATTTCCCAACGAACCACCCTGCTGTATAGAGCGATGTGTGGTCCAGATTTGCAAACGTTACTCTTGTGGAAAACCGCTTGTTTTGCAGGTCGAAGGGCATCTCGGTGACGATCTACGACGAGATGATGTGCGCCGGGTACAAGAACGGCGGCCGCGACAGCTGCCAGGGCGACTCCGGCGGGCCGTTGATGCTGCAAAAGGCCGGCAGATGGTTCCTCATCGGCATCGTTTCGGCGGGATACTCTTGCGCGCAACCCGGACAACCCGGAATCTATCACAGGGTCGCGCATACGGTCGATTGGATTAGCAGGGCGATCGGGAGTTAAAACGGGGTGTTGCTAATTGGGCGGGACAATTTATTTGCGATAAACCGGACCTAATCTGAACGAACGAAACAGGAAGTAGGATTATAGATATGACAATCAATATAAACATGTGGGTTAAAAAAAATCTGTGTTAGAACATTAAAGACTAGTGATTATCAATTTTATATTGTAATAAAATAGTTGCCTAGTCATTTTAATACGAATACCGTAGTTATGAAAATGTATAACTAATATCTTTCAGAAACTTTTTAAGGATAATATAACTTTCTAAGTTTTCGACAGATTTGAATTACTAAATAATATTGTAACAGATATATTTTTAAAATATTGTACAATACCATAGGCACATGTACCTACAACATGATATGAATAACACATTTTATCAACATGATATGAATAACACATTTTATGAATTTTTCCATTCGAAATTCATTATTATTATGTGAGATAAAATTAGATTGTTTAAACAACATCCTTCAGGTCGATCCTTTTGCAACATTATTTTATCCGAAATTTTATTTATTTATTTTATTTTAGATACATTTTTATTAGGCGCATTATTTAATTATAAAATATTTTGTAAATATATTTTTTCGATTTTAATTTATAAGTGTGTACTTCGATCGAACATCGAGCCTATTTAATTGTAATTTGTAATTGTAATTGTTCGTTTTAAATATAAACGAACTATGTGATTTCAACAAATAAATAAAATAGATACTATTTTCTTCAAATAGGTGCTTTCTCAAGCATAATAGAAAGGACCTGGTCATTTACTTTTCCCATGCATCAAAATTCAATTTAGGCTTGTAATTATTATGTTTTGTAAAAATGGATAAATTTTGAGTTTTCTATTTTTGAAATAGAAGACACACCTACATACTTGCTGTACTGTGATACAATATTATTCTTAGCAAGATGCGATAAATATGAAAAATGATATGAACTAAAAGAAGATACCACCAATATGCATGAAGAAAAAATAAATTAAAAGCCTGAATATTAGGCAACCAAAATATCATTGCAGGAATAATTTTGCAGTACCTACATGAGGCAGTAACATGAGTGAAATTTCACTTAAAAGTATTTTTTGATTAAATTTATTATTAATGATAAGTTAGAATATGTTAATTTTAGAATGATCCCTTAACCTGTGCCGCTCTCATTTTGATATTACCTAAAAATGTAATAGATTTTTGCTTTGTTATTGCATTTTATAATATTTTTTATAAGTAGATAATCCGATACAAAGCATGATAACAAAAACTTAATTTTTTTATATTTGCATTTTATATTGTTTTGTAAGAGGTTTGATACTAGTTGTAAGGACTATAAGTCACTTCTGAATAACCTTAAATGAAAGAAATTCTGGTTTCAAATTAATTAATTATACTAAACCTTATGTTGCCATTTGAAAATATTAGTAGGTAGTATCCCTTGATAAGAGTATCCCCAAAAGATAAAATGTAGAAAATTATTTTTGCAACATAAACTCTACTCACCTACTAGAAATAAAAATCGACCTAACTATTTCCCTTTGGGAAATAACCATTAAGTTATAAAACACGATTGTGAGGGTAGGTTATTATAACCTACGCATGTATGTACTTAACACATGTATCATTAATTTTATTACTTATTCAAATCATAAACGTATGATACCAGACTATTAATTATTGTAAGTTGGAAATAGGTATTCAATTATTATCAATATTAGAAGAAAATAATCAAGAATATATACTTTGTTACTTTATTCACCCAACGCCGACTGCGCTCTTTATTCACATATTCAGAATGTATCCATCCAGCCGAAGTGGCAATGTCCTAGAATAACGGACGACGACCTGCATTATGGCGGAAACATTGCACCCGGGCTAGGTCCGCCGTCTGTCTCGAGTTCTGGAGGGATCAATGCGCCGCCGGCGGAGCCCCGACATTCGCCGCCCCCCGACTGCCCCCCATGGCTGCCGCCTCACCCCAGTGCATCCAGCACCCGTTAGGTGAAAGCTGTGTGTCTGCGTTCGCCTGGTATAGTCGTTTGATAGGTCACGCAGTACAAGTGAAAGGGGTTCGGGTAAACAGATATATAGGAGCGGTGAAAAAATGCACCAGACGCTTCCACCGATTCAATTCATAATTACCTTTTCTATATGGGAAAATTATTAAATGCACAATTCAGACGAGGGTATTGTTAGTTTTTTAATTAGTGTTTGTATGGTGGCGGTGCTGAAATGGCGCTTTATACTTATTATTGTCAATTGTCTATTGTTAATTAAGTTAACAGGAAACTCTTTCGGTTAAATAACGTCATAAATGTGTAAATATATCTTGGAATATGAATATATTTAATTAGAGCACAATAAAAACCGCATACAATTTGATTAAAACAGAGAGCATAAAGCTTAAACTGTACATTAATTCGTTACTAAAACAGATTGATCCGTACAGAAGTAAAAGTTTAAACTTTCAAATTGAGGTGATAAATCCATTAGAAGATACACGATTTAATACCTATATTATTCAATAAAATGTAAAACCACTAGTGCATGGAATAGTCAACGTATACCTCAATTTACTCTGTTTTAGAGCAAAGGGCTTCCATGAAGAAGCATATGCAATGTAGAAGGTTCGATATTGGGTAATGGCTTCGCTGTTGGCTGGTGTTTATTTACATAAATGAAAAGAATAAATATTTTAAAATGCATGAGCTTAAAGTCTCCGCGATTTCCCTGTGGTTAGCGAAAAGTATTGTTTTTATCACAGCGTTGTTTCTTTTTATTAATTATTCTTCAAAAGAAGCTACCTGATACTTCCATTTAATAATAAGGATATTATGACTTCCAATCCGAGAGTACGCATGAACTCAGAGATTCCAGGATTTTTTCTATGATTAACGAAAAGTAATGTTTATATCACCTGCATGTGTTATGTTTCTTATTATTAATTATTATTCTTCAGGACAAGCTATTTTATTCTGCCATTTAATAGCAAGGGCATTTTCAAATTTCTGGTTCAATCCAATAATATGCAATAACTCAAAGTTTCTAGATTTCTTTTATGGTGAGCGAAAAGTATTTTTTCATCTGTGTTACTTTTCTGTTTATTAATTATTTTTCCCGCGAAGCTATTTAATTCTTCCATTTACTAACTAGCATATTGTGAAATATCTTTTCCAATCTAATCCCACTAATAACAACCCTTAACAGTACTCATGTATAATCCCCAAAAACGTGAAAAACCCAATGATTGCTAGGTAGTAACATCCACATAATTAAGTTTCCAGCGAACATACACATCCCCTTGGGGTGCTCCCTTAGACCAATTAATAAAATTCGACGTTGTAAACCCAATTACACGGAGCGCCGCTGCTCCTCTCGCTTATAAGCGCAGGAGGTCGTGACCGTAGCCTACTTCGGGTCAACCACCTGCTTCTCCGTTGTCCCGACGCTTTAGAGGTCGTCCTGCTCAGACGCCACCGACATCGGCAGGCCGGGACGTCTGCGTCGCCCCGCTACCCCCATCCCCTAGGAGTCACCCTGCGTGTTTTCCGTTCCCGCTAGCCCCGTCGACGACGACTGCGTCGCAAAGACGATGGGGAAATTTTCATTCCGCCACCATCCTGCGAATGTATAATGTACGGGATGGCGTGGAAAGAAGGGCAGGAAAAACCGTTGTGACTCACTCGGTAAAATATACTGCTAGAAATTTATTGCAGAAGCATAAATCTATCGAATTTTATTTGTAAATTATTTATGGAGACATGTTTTATTCTTGCTGGAGTTAGTATTAGAGAAATTAATGATTATTTTTCTTGATGGCAATCCAAAATGCAGTGTACTTTTTATAAACAGTTCTCTACTTCTTATATTGGAAAAATGTTGGGGTTAAAATCATTAGGAGCTTTATAAACTACTACTTTTGTCAGTAAGCACCTTTAATCACCCACCCTTTAATAATGGTTTTAAATAAAACTCTTGCGAAGTCATTAAAAACCTTTTTAAGAACTTTTGCCAGTCATTAAGCTCCTGTAAAAGAGCGTACAATTTTCTCTTATTCCTGAAATATAAAAGGACAAATTCAACTATAAAATCTTTTAGGTAGGATAGAGTTCGAAATGTAGATTGTATGGAAATTTTTTGTCGCATCAAAAATAATATACAAACATTACAAAAGCACGCCCATGATAATGAACTGGATCATCTAAGTGCAAGTAAAGTAAAAGTGAGAGCAAGGTTGCGGTTAGTGCACCATCGTCATAGCCTAGCCAGTATACAAGTCTCGGTCTCTCGCCTGAAATATGCTACTCAACCGCACTCTCTAATCTACTAGTATGTAGTAGTATTATCGTACTGTAGAGCAGCGAGAAGAAACACATCGAGAATGTATGTGTGTATGTATAAATAAATTGGTATATAAAAAAATATACGCATAAACACGCACGAATTATATTTCGAAGGCGCGAGGCAGTAGAAAATCGTATCGTGTGTGTGTGTGTGTGTTGACGTTCATCCCACGACTCCCCAAAATCGATAAGCGGAGTCATAGAGAGCTACTCTGGGTTCAGAATCCTATTTCAAGGACAAGGCCAAGCGTCGTATAGCCGGAGCGCGTTCGCTTCGGATCCGACGTTTTTAAACACTCAGTCGATCGTCGGAATCGCTGTACCGCATTCGCTACGCGCCCCCTCGTTTCTGTTCCACCGTCGACCCGTCATCGGACTCACCCCTCGACTTCGAGTGCATGTATACAGACGCGTGCAAGCGCAAGCGCAACCCCTTTTTTTGCGCCGTTCTTCTTCTTTCTTCTTTCGGTTTTAATGTCCTGACTGCATTTCGGTTTCACTTTCGTTTCGAATTTCGAGCGGAGAGCGCGCGCCGTGACTCTCGCACCCTCGAAGAGCCACCCCAATTTCGTTTGAGCGCTTTCGATACGGGGCCGGTGCAATAATGCAAAACGCTGCTGTGCCGATCAAATGCGAGAGTAAAGAGTTCGGAATCGCCGGTGGTGCCGTCGTTTCGTCGTCGACGTCGTCGTCGTCGTCGCCGGCGTCGCACCGGCCGGGGAACATGTGCCCGCCGCCGCCGCCGCCCCCGCCGAAGATTAAAATCGTCGATATCAAGCTGGAGGAGCCGACCAGCTCCATACCGGATCTAGGTGAGTGCAATCATCAAGTAAAACATAAACAAATTTATATTTATCTGTTGTTGTCATTTGCGCAAACTTGACGCGAACTTTATTGAGCGCTCCTGGTATATTTACGTTTTATTCAGTTCTACTTTTGAACGGAATAATTTATTTCAATGTGGCATTTTTGCACTTAAAATAAGCAAATGTCAATTGGTAATTCGAATTATTCGTGAATGGCTTCAATAAAAATTATAATATTGTTGACCCTAAAAAAACGAAAAATTGACTCGCAACAATTAAGCAACAATATCGTATTAAAACATTGTTGAATGCTCCTCGTATAATTAAACGTTTATTATTAATTTTTCTTGAACTGTCTCTTTAAAATGGGCCAAATTATCTCGAACGCTACTGGTACATTTATATTTTTATTAGCCACGCGGATTGACTTTGAAAAGATTTTAATAAAACATTAAATTGTTGACCTTAAAATTCTCAACTTTTCATCAATTGTCGTTCGACGACACTTTTGAATAAACTAGTCCGAATTAAATATCTGACCTTAAAAAATAATAAAATATGGGGTGACGTAAGGTCACAGGCGAGAAATCATCTAGTTTTTTTAATGAATAATTACCCGGAAATTGTTCGCTCGATTTTATTCGCGTTACTGTTACTAAAATAGGTATAATTAATCTCGGGTGAAATCGATGGTGTTAATTTAGCAAATAAATTAGCATATTTTAATATGAAACTGGTAATACTTGTTCGAAGTACTTATATGACCCCTATAGATTTGTTTATACATATGCTTAAAAATCCAAAATAAATATCCAGATCAGTAAATTACAAAATTATCCAATTTACTTAAAAGATTATTATTTGTAAATCTAGTTTATACATTTTAGTATTATCAAGAGGAATTCGATGCTAAGATAAATTTATCTGCTAGCTAGTTGTTACAGTCAACTAAAGAGGAAGTTTATGTTAAAGATTTATCTATCAATTAACCTGTCAGATAAAATAGCTAACTCATTTATCTGCGATCGTAAATCTACCCTAAATCTCACACTCTTGTGAACATTTTTGTAAAATTTTGCTTCGATTCTAAACAGGCGATTAAAATTTGCATACTGATCATACTAGGTATCAAAACGATTCAATCGCTAAACCAATAAAATAATTCGATAAAAATCGATTATTAAAAAGAGAAAACCAGCAAATAATCAGTTGAATTTTAGAAAGTCAACTTGAGATTCCTTATAGCGATTAACAGGGAATACCTATTTATAACCATTGCCTATTTATAGTCTGTCAATGTCAAATATAGAGTGTACGTAAAAAGTTTTTTACACCGAATTAACGGTTTTCGAGCCAATTATTTGTCGAATTCGACTATAATAGAACCGAAATAAATTTAAAAACAGACGTTAATGTCACAAATAAAAAATACACCATTTTTTTTAAACCATCAAATTTTCTTAGTGTACTAAACATAATAAAATAAGCTTCTCAGTGTACGAGTAAGTACCAATTTTCCGTAAACCACGAATTTCCATCAGTTTCCGGTACCTGTAGATTACCGTTCCACACAACGGTTAATCCAAAGGTAACATTGCACAAATAAAATATGCAAATAGGGGTTGGAAATTCCGGCGAAAGCGCTTTGGCAACGTCGGAATGCACCGAGCGTCGCGTCGGACGGGGGTGGCGAAACAATCTTCATGGAAGCGGTAACGAGTGGGGTGTAATGCGAGAGAGGTGCGGCCAGAAGCGCCGAGGGGCAACGACCCAGACATGTGAGGGTGGAAAATTCAAAAGGGATGATGCTGGATCGCAAATTTTCGAAGTAGTGAGAGTAGCAGGAATCCCAGGAAACCCATTTAAATTGTCGGGATTATTCTATAAGGAGCGAAATTATTACAACTAAATATAATATAGAAAAAAATATATATCGCAATGAGAAAACGAATTAATAGGTTATTGACCATAAATGTTTGATAAAAGTTAATCTCGTATAAACTAATTCCAAATCTAAACGACTTGCTGTAAATAATTATAATTTCCAATTTGAAATATCACCTTAGCAACAGAGCAATTTATCGAATCATTATCAGGTAGCCAATTCGTTTATAAAAAAAACACGCCCTGTAATTCCCCCGAAAGAACATCCTCCTCTGCGATCCGTTCTTCGCCGATATCATGTAGGTTACCACTATATTTAGAGCACTAGCTTTCCCTTCGACGACAAAATAAATACCTAGAGTGAGTCATCGGGGTTACCGGCTCCTGCATCGATCCGTCTACGAGCGGAGACTATGAAGCGGGCTGCTACCCGAAAAGGACAGTTAGAGAAGTGCATAGAGCGAAATAGAGATGCAACTCCGACCAGGCCGACACGATTCGCCTATTCACGGAAAATCGAGGGTGGAAGTTCGGGAAAAAATCCGAGACTGCAGTGTAGGGTATGAGGGAAACTCCGGACTGGATGGCAAAACTGGGTATTTGAGTCGAATCGGTTTGCTTTCGTTTTTAATGCACAATAGCCGATGATGTCGATTGATTGCCAATGTTTATGGGATATTCGCGATCGAGTTTATAAGTGGAATTGATTTATAAAAACCGTCGTGAGTGCCCTTGACACGGGTCAGTTGATTGACTCTTTAATGTGATTATTTGTTTATTTATTAATTATTTCATATCGTACACTCTTCAGTTGCTTCAAGTAGTTGCTAATTATCAAATTTTAAAGCGCATTTTTAATGTGTATTCTCTACGAATCATCTAACTAAACTACCCTTAACAATTCGGTTAATCAAAACACCTGCTGTTGATGGCCCGATCAAATTTTTAATGGGCAAATTCAACTCGTACAAAACCGGCATTAGTTTAGTATGTTACAAATTTAAGGTTACGACGGAAGCCGGAAAATTGGGTATCTGAGACACGCGATTTTCATTGTAGCGGCAACGTTGAACTGCATAACCGTCTGGACTCCATGGCACACTAGGGTGTTGTCATGGTTACCGCTATTCGTAGTTCTTGTACACTGTATAGCGGGAAAACCGTTTCGGGAACGGGGAAATTATGACGGGGGGCGAATTTTTAGGATTCGGAAGGTCAAATAGCTTCACTGATAAATATTCCGGCTGGGCGATCAACCGGTCGAGAAAATCGGTTAGGACGATGATGATTTTGGAGAGGAAATTAATGTCGCGTTTGGATGGAAAAGTCTTCGAACGTTATCTATTGGTTATATTTCTCCAATTTTTGTTATATGATTATTCTTTTTATGCATTAGGGGGTTGAAATTTTTTTCCCTGTAACCTTCAATTAATGTAGATTTATGGGGTGATTTACTAGGCTACAGGAAAAAGCGACAATAGTCCATTTTTTTGTACAACTAAGATCACAGTTTATTATTATAGTATTTTGTAGTTACTATCAGATAACCAAATCGTTAAATGGTAAAAATTGCTTAAGTCCTCAACAGCTAAAAGATACCTTTAATTTCACTTTCTAACAATTGTTACAAAAACACCATACAAAATTTTTTACAAACTGGGGTAAAATAAAATGAAACGTCCTTCGCTTCCGGGGACTACGCCCCAAAAATCCAAATCCGCTCGAATTTGGCGTGTACATTTTCGCTGTAAACGCGCGAAGAAAGCCGAAAACAAAACGGATCTTCGTAGGCGGCTTAATTAGTTCCGAGGACGGTTTTCTGGAAAGCGTCGAAAATCGTCGAGGGATTTGCAGGAGTTCCCGTTTCCTACATTTCCGTCACCGGAGCAGCGGAACGCAACCTTGAATGGGGAAAACGTGTGGCTGTCGGCACATGACCATGAACTGGATCCCGCCCGTTCTTCCAGCCCTTGAGCCCTTCCAGGGAGAAAGGCCGTGCACGGGGCTTACATTGAAAAATTTTCCCTAAGCGCTACGCGTGTTGTATTCGAGAGTTACGAAACAACTTGAAACACTTTGAAAGTGATCAAACACATTCAAATTAATTTTCCGATCCGTTTGTTTTGCGTGAATCGCACAACAATTGTAGTTGTAAATATATTAGAAACCCTAAATTTACCTATTTTGTTTCAAGGATTCAAAGTCCTTGTTTGCTCCAATTTTAATTTTCTGTCTAACATAATACAATTACACCTCTCGCAATATTCGTGAATTTAATGAGTACTATTTTTTGCTATTATTTGATCCCATGTTTTTCATATCCCTTTATGCCCTTTGATAACCCCGTTTCGATTCGAGTCCTTTCGACGCGTATGGGTTTACAGGGGTCCCATAAAACTGCTTTTAACGATGTACAAACTTTATTGTTGTATCCACAAGAAAAACACGTAATTATTATTGGAATAAACAAGAAAAATCATGAGTTGAGCATTGAGCGGTTCTTTTTTGGCTCTGGTTGACAGATGACAGTTGACTTCGGATCTTCTTTTTTCTAACATTCAGTACGAACTGTCAACAGCTGTTTTCGGCGACTCACACGCCCTCTCGGGGCTAGCGGCAGAGTCGTTACCGGATCAGGTGGAGCAGGAACCGCCACATCCACTCCCCCTCCAGTGACTTGCGAGGGAGCTTGCGAAGAAGACGGCGAAGGAGGCTGCGAAGAAGACGGCGAAGGAGGTTGCGAAGGAGTAAGGAACGAAACCTTCTTGGCACGGGCGTATGTTCTCGTTGGCCTGTCGATATCCGTGGTGGGGTTGATCTGCGGAGTGATTTGCTCGTCTGATCGGTTGGAGTTGTCATCAGTCTTGGTAATGTAGGCGGGCTTCAGTAGACTGGTAGAAATTGCTTTATCCTCCCCCTTAATGCGGATGATAAATACTTTGTCGTTTAGACGCTTGATGATCTCATGCGGGCCTGAATAGGGGTGTTCAAGAGGCTTTCTAACAGCCTCGATTTTTCTGAAGACGTGGCTGCAGGTATTCAGGTCCTTTAGAATGAACAGTCTGGACTTCGTGTGGTGGGCTGTCGGGGTGGGTCTTAAGGTTCGAATGTGTTCTCGAAAT